ACTTTTCAAAGTATTATATTAAAATTTGCCTGCATTCTCAACGAATTTACAGTCATTATTGTTTTCAATTTAATCAAAATAGATCATATTAATTGCTTGCTTTTGTAGTTAACTTTATAGACAATTGCAATACCCAATAAATTAAGCTTCAAATTAATAATTGCTGTTGCTTAATAATAATAATTATATTTATTTTTGTATTAAAAGAAGATCCTTATCATATCTAATGTTATTACTGATAAAAAATCGCAATTTTCATAATTGGATCGCCTTCATAATTGCTCCTTTTTATACATTTTTATAAAATTATGTTTAATTTTTGGTCTTTTATATTATTTTACATCTAGTAGGTAGGTACTCATCATTCCAATTTAGAAAAACTTTTGATTTAATCATATTCAATATTCAAATCACAAGTGCGTTATCAACAAAAAAGTTTTCAAGTTCCGCCATTCAAATATCTAGCCACCTATATTTTCATATGAAAATTGAAAATTTTTTTGTTGGCACAAAACTTGTATACGTAGCTACTGTCACTAATAACTTTGAAAATTATGAATTTATTAAAAATAATTCTTATTTTTTTTTCTGAAATTTTTAAAAATAATTTGAATTTTTATTATAAAATTTAAGGATATAAAATTAGTGACGCTATAAATCAATTGTCCTTTTATTTAAAATTTGAATTTGATCGCATATTTTAAATATTTTTCCTCTTAATTTCAAAAAAGAAATTCTAGAAAGAACGCGAAAAAACTTTTTTAACACTTTCTTTTTTCTTTTTAAGAATACAAAATACTTAAAAAGATTGTAAAAACTTATGTTTGAAAGCATCGATTAAAGTTAGATCGTGAACAGCCGGTTTTTTTTACTAATTTGACTAATAACCATGTCACATTAAATTTTCCTTTCTCTTTGAATATTTCAAAATTTTTTTCTTTCATAATTTTTCAAGTTTTTTTTATGTCTATAAAAATAAAAGATTTTTTTTTGAATAAATTTCAATAATAGCTTCTATTTGTCCTCATTTTGTGCATGATCCTTATGGAAACTTATGAAAATATTTTCGGATACAGTATACATACCCATATAGAATGAAGGATGTTATTAAAGAGATGATAATTTTATTTGGATTTTGATAACTTTTTACTTAATAATAATTTATAAAGAATTTTTTTTTTCTGTGTATGTTGAATTTTTGCATGAAAGCAAAATTAAATTGGTTTTAAGTTCTCGTTTCCTATTTAATATTCAATATGTTTGTAAGTATATATGAAAATGTATGTTGATTTTGTGTCAAATATTGAATGATAACAATATTATTTGAGATCGTAAAAAAATTACTAAGATTTAAAAGAAAATTTGACTCTGATATCGACAATAATTAGACACTCTGAATACGTTGAATAACTCAATTACTTTGATTTTTTCATTACACATTTAGAAAATTTTTAATAACTTGTCTTTTACATATGAAAATAAAATTTTACATTGAAAATGTTATTTTATAATAAAAACGAAACTTTCGAAAATTCTAGTTTTTCTCAAAAACTCGTGCTTGCTGGTAGACCAACAAAATTTGATTCATAAAAATAGGGTATATTTTTGTTTGACACGTCTCTTCGAGCAAACAGTGAATAAAACTCTTCGAGCTTAAATTCCACCCACAAAATATCAAAAAGTAAATAATGTTAGCAGGATCTTTTCCATTAATACATACATATATAAGGTTCGCTTGTAATGGTTGGGGACTCAGCGAAATAAAAACTACCCATACCAAAAACTTAAATTAATCAAAGTATGCTCCTTGTACAAAGTACGTAACTTAATAGAAATTTACATATATTGTATGGTTTTTAAGGAGGTTTTTTTTAAGAAAATTTATTGTCATGCTGTTTCTAGTTGTTGTAGTTCTAGTCACTGGTTAATTGACCGTGTCAACTCCATGTATTCTCGTTTACTATACGGGTATCACAATGTTACACATGGCTAAATCGACTCTGAATTCGACGCTGTTCAAAAAACATACACTTGGTTCTATATCTCAGACGATTATTTCTTAGCATTGCAAATCTTAAGATAAATTTAGTATAACCTTCTAACATACGCTCGTACGAGGCTGTGTGAAGTAAGGTGCAAATAAGGCACCTTACTTCACACATTAAATATAAATATGTAAGGCTTTTCAAAAAACTAAAAATGAACATATTTAAAAAAATATCTTCACCTTATGTTATAAAAAGAACGCAGGCTAAAAATGGCTTTCTTAGAACATTTCTTGCTTTTTCATATTAAACAATTCTTAATTTTTATGAAATTATGAACAAACAAATAAAATATTTAAAAAATTTTTGAATTCTTGTAAAATGATTGAAATAGTTTTGATTTAAATAAATGATTTGGAGTCTGAGATTTAATATTCTTCATAACAGAACAAAGAATAAGTCATTGAATTCACGACACACTCAAGCATCTTATCGTAAAATAAAACAAAAACTTTTTTTTTATATTTTTTTTTTGCAAAATATTTTCATTTCAATTATTTTCATTCTATTTGGTTTTTGTCTAAAAATAAAAACTTTTCTTAAGTTAAATACTTAAAGGCACTTGAGACCAATCTATTTTTTCCCCATTGGTCATTTCAATTATATTTAAAGAAAACTTATAAGGATACCATCGAAAACAACAACAATAACAACAAAAAAATATCTAACGCATAAAAATTAAACGCTAAACTCTCCAAAAAATCTATTTAAAGTTTTAGTTTTGGATTTTCTTTTGTTTTATATAAAAAAAACTCCTTCAACAAGCAGTCAGAAAAGTCTAGGCAACTATAAGATAGCAATTATATAAAGATTATTGAACTTTGAATTTTGTAAAAATTTCTTGAAACTAAATTCGTACATGAAAGTTGAAACAGACGATAAGATAGTATTTTATTTCCATTGAAATATTTTCAGTTTAAATTTTTTTCCATTTAAGCGCTTGCTAGCAAATTGAGACAATGAGCTTAATGCGACAGGAAGTTTGAATTCGACAGGAACCCTTACAACGTAGATAAAGGTTTTATGAAAAAATTCTTAATATTAAAACTACAAAGTTCAAAGCTTGGTATTTGACAAATCTATTTTTGAGAATTATGTTTCAAACCACCCCATATAAGTATAATATTTGACCGCTCTCAAAAGATTGTATATGTCAATAATTGCGTAATAATTAAATACGGTTTCCGTGCGCCGAAGGCACTGAATTAAATTATGGTAACCAAAATCAGCTCAATATCCTTTTGAGTTGAGAGAATTTTGAAAAATAATTATATTTGGTTCCAGTTCTCTGCATCTATATTACAAACAAAATTATTAATACCACATGTCTTGTAAATTAATTAAGTTACGAATTTAAGAAATAAGCTAAAAAAAAATCTATAAAGATCTTGCATTTTGTGAAAAGTGAATTCACTACTTTCTTTTATTACTGTGCTAAATGCGAACTTAAATAAAGTGAATTTCTGCTTTTTTTTCTACATTTTTTATTTGCTTTGGATTTCTTTTCACTTTACTTTTATTACACTTTTTATTCTTAGCATTAAAAATTTTTTGTCTTTTAAAACTATTTGCACTAGAAAAAGGTCTCTATTTTTTTTTTCTTCTTTTTCTTTTTCATCCAGCGTATTTTGAAAGATTTTATGGATTAAGTTTTCTTTCGCAACGAAAAAAATATCTAAAGTATTACAAGAATGAATTTGTAAGCACTCTTTAAGAATAAAGGAGCACCAAACTTTTAAACTTTATCGCCTTTATTTTATAATTTTTCCCTTAAAATATGGAAAATTGTAATATTAATATTGTCAAAAGTATAAAAGTGATTATTAATTTAAATTTTTAATATGTGAGGTAGTTTTAATTACTGTCATTTATAGTTTATTTTATAGCTAGCAGTTTTACTTCATTTTACAGCGTCATTGCGCCTAGATTTACTCCTTTAAACTTCATTGAATAAGAGCGACTTAATAGCTTACAATTACGTATATATTTATTTCATGCCATTGTCCGAATTAAGGATAAAGCATTAGGACAAAACCCGTAAATGCAATACGCTGTCGAATATTTTTGATAGATTTTTGGTACAATAAGTTCTACATTTTTTCATTATTGAATACACGTCAAATACCTTTCAACCAGAAATGTCAAATACCTCTTAATATCATGGTAAATGAGAGTAAACTTTTAAATCATGTCGACACATAGTTCAAAGAGAACTCCACCATTATGGAGATACGTTAGCCCTACAATGTTCAATCGACCATTCCAATAAATCATTAGACCCTTTTTTCATTCCGCTAGTTGGCTCTCTGTCTTTATCAAAATTAAGTGTAGAATTTTCAAGAACTTTTGTTTTTCTATCTCTTACCATAAAATAAAAAGAACGCGAATTTCTTTCGAATTTTTTTCTTTTCATTTTTTTTTCGTAAGAAAATTTGAAATCATCCACATTATTACCACAAAGCTAAAATAAACCTGGCGCTATTTGAGTTGGTTGAAAAAAGAAATAGTTTGGATTTTACAAAAAAAAAAAAAAAAACGAAAATTATAAATTTTATTTTAAACGTTGCAAAAACGAAAACTATAAATTGATGAAAAAATAGTAAAAATCGATCAAGAGAAGATGGTGAATTTGAGGGAAACGCGTTTAAAATACAATTTGAAATTTTCTCATAAAAAATAGAATTATTATTTCCCAAGAGTCCATAGCTTTTATAAACCACAGCATTGTGTAAGAATTTTTACATTTTAAATTGAAAGAACTTTGTTTTTTGTGCACTCATTAAGAAGGCATTCAGTAGCACTTTTGATGATTTTAAGATACTATAGGTAATTTTTGAGGGTATTTAATCATAGTTCCTCAAATAGAGCAAATATTTATGATTTTTCTATTTTCTTTTTATGATCTAATTTATTTTGTAAATTAACAAAAAAAAATATTATTATTAAAAACAAGATCTAGTAACAGTTTCGAATATTCCCCAAAATCACCAAAATTTCAATAAAATTATTCTTTAACTGGAAATATGTTAACATTTTGCATTTGACTTTGTGATCTTGATCTTGAAGATCGTCTTGATTGTGAATAATATGATATTGTTTCATTTGTTCGAACCGGTTTTTTATTAATCCAAAATTTCAGTGCAAAACCTATTTCTTCCTTTAATGCTTCCAATGGTGTTATCTTAAATTGAAGAAAAATTTTTATTGAATATGAAACAATATAATAAAATTTTAATTTTATTTAAAAAATATGACCAATCTGTTTTTAATAAAAGCTTATACTTACTTTCTCTTCTACAGCAACTTGTTGTACATTCCATAGAAATTCAAATATTCCTATAACATAAGCTGTAAAAAGACCAGCTCCAAGAACTAAGAATACGCCACCAACATTATCAATACCCAATTCATTATTGGAATCAGTTTCAAATTTTTCGCAAGTTACATTGTGTCCTTTCCACCATTTCTTTTTTAAAGCAAATAATTCTCCTTTTTCACTTAATTTCAGTATAGCAACACTCAAATTAGAACGATAGTCAGAACCTTTTTGCAAAAAAAAAAAAAAACAAAATTATTTACAAAAATAATAATGAATCTTAAAAATTACCTAAAGGTACTGCAAGACCATAATGTTTTTCACCAATAACACCACCTATTGATTGAACTTCACAATTCCTCTCTGTTATATATTCTAAGCCAGTAGTTTCCATTAAAAATGCATATAATCCTTTACTTTTTTTAACTCTTTCTAATCCTTCATTATTATCGGCTGTAAAAACTGTTGGTTTAGCTTGTACCATTTTATTCCATGCACGACGATAAACTGAATCATTTGATTCCTTAATTTATCAAGGAAATATATTTTTTTTATATTTATATACATACATTGTTTAAATTAAAATTTAAATTAATTAATAGAATTGAAATTGAAAAATATTAGAATGACATTTATTTGCGGATAAATTTCTGTACCACTAACGTGAATTTTTCTTTTGTTCTTCTAATTAATTTAAGCGAAATTTTGTTTATGTTGCATAAGAAAGCTAGACCTCAATCTACTTAATGCAATGGCAACATTAAATCCATTATTAATTTTAAAATATCCTATGGTTTTATATTATATCAAATTCCTCTTAAGATATTGTGTAGCTATGCTTATAGATCTACCCAAAACACATAATACATAATCCACAATCAAATAAAATACCAAATTGTATACATGTTATTTTCTATGACACGCCTTGATATAAGCATTATGACAACCTTTTCTCTTTTAACCCAAAAATGGATTATACCATCCACAATCTTATATCATTTCTCAATTTATTTTTCTTGTTGTTATCAGAAATATTTTTAATTAGCAAATAACATGTGTTAGAAAATTTTATTCTTTTAAATGTCCTTTTCATTCAATTTTACTCCCCATTTAAACTTCAAACCCTCTAAAGTAATTGGAAATCATACTGTCCTAAAATATGTCTTCCTTTTCTCAGCTAAATAAATTAAGAAAAAGCAATAAGCTTAAGTGACCAAATGAGTTACGTTTCCAGAAAATTGATATTAAAATCAAATAAAACAGAAACCCTTACTTTGTTACTGAATGGTGACGAAATTTTGTATATTTTTGAAAAAATGGAAATAGAGACAAAATTATTAAAGCGGGATAGATGAAAATTACATTATATGAATATAACGATAGCCACTCGGTAGGTAAAAAAGCAAGTACAGAATGAGAATGTCTTTATAAACTTTCATGCAGCTTGTCAGTTTCTTTTAGATCTTTACCTTAAAGAATGTAGATGTGCTGCCGCCATTAACAGTACCAAAACTAATTTTATTCTGTTCAGCTAAATCATTAATTGATTCAATTGAACTCTGTTGTCTTGATGATGTTAAAAAAGCAGCTAAATTAGCAGTATAAGAATTCAACATCATAAGAGCAAAAAACCACCATAAAGCGCTAACTATTCTCAATGGCCCAGTTCTAAAAAAGGAAAATTATTACAAAATAGTTCTCTCTTAATAAATTAATTGAATGAAATATTATCGCATCAAATTACCTTGGTAAAATATCACAACCTTGACCCATAAGTGATCCCATTACTAACCATGTTGTATTTGTAATACACCATTTATTTTCTAATTCTTCAGGATTAGGATTACACGGATGTGGATTTTCATATTCGTCGGCAGCAATTCTAAAATATTCAAAGAGAAAATATTTATAAAATGTTATTATCATCGAACTGTTATGAAACACCTAGAATTTTTATAATACAGATTTAATTTTGTTAGATATACCTTGCCAGTAGGAAGAGTAAAATTGAAATTATCAGATACGCTGTTGCCATATATATCCACACCTCTAATGCAAATGGTTTCAAAAATGAAAATAAATCTGGATCTGGAGGAGGTTCCTTATAATACAAAATGCTAATACCCAATTGCATATATGGTACAGTAAAATCAACTGCTTGTCGTCTTTCATGTGTTATGGTTAAATCACATATTCCAATGTCAGCTTTCTATCAGTATATTGATTTCATATACAATATGAAAAGTTACCAGAAATTTAATTTCATTTTATCTTACATGATCTACTAATTCCCTAATGATACCATTCCATTCCCCAGTAGTATGATCTAATTTACCCCATTGATTGTCGGGTGCAATTTCAATAGTATAATCAAAATCAAGTTGTTGTGACAATTTATGTATTAAATCAACTGAATATCCTTCATATCTTTGATTACCTGTTAAAATTTCACCTTCTTTTGCTTTCCTAAAAATGAGAAACAGAAAATTTGAAATCAACTCTTAACATTTAAAAAAATAATTTAAACCTTTCCATCAAATAAGGTGTACCGAGACGACCAGAAACTTTAAAAAGTCTTCTGTCTTGTTCAATTTCAACATCGCTTTCTACATTTTGTACACTTTTTGGTGCACTTTTAAATGGTTCAATAACACCGTCTGATCTCCATGTGGCTAATGAAATTTGTCTTAATGGTCGAAAAATATCTAAACTGAAACCAGTTCTTTCTCCGAATTCACTAAATTTTATATCTTTTGTAATAAAGACATCTTCTTCATCATCATCTGCCTACAAGATTATTTAATTCAATTGTTTTTCTTTTATTTTGTTTAGAAAAGCTGTAAGTTTCTTAACAATTTTGCTTAGCGAAATAAAGAGTTATGCAAAATACCATTTGAACTTTTTTCATTGTATCTATAATATTTGGCCCGTACGTCCATGAATAACCTTTTTGATTTTCTCGATAATTTTCGCAACGTACTCTTGGTTCTGTAAAACGAACTTGGTAATATCGACTTAAATATTGTATAGCATTTGAAAATAGTTGAACAGCATCAAATAGCACAACTCCAGTTAATGTTTGTTCCTAAAATTAAAATGATTTCCATTAATAATTTAATCATTACAGAAATTTCTTCAGAGAAAATTATATTACTTCCGGTAATGCTGCTCCTTCATTAACACTTATTTTTAATGCAGTCACATTGACACGCATTGCTGTAGCAAATTGTTTTAAATCAACTGTATGAGTATCTAAATTTGTTAATAATATAGCCTACCAAAACAAAAGAAAATCAGATTCAGATTCAGAGTCAATTTTGGGTATAATTTTAATTTTCTTACAATAAATCCTTCAGTAACATTAAAATCTTTTGCACTTCTTATCACATCTTCAAGTACTTCAGCACTACAATCAACAACAATACGATTTATTTGATTATGTTTAATACCTTTCCATATTGTTCCATATTCATCTGATTCCAATTTATATTTTGTTATACCAGATTTATGTGATGGTAATAATTCTAAAACATCTTGAAATCGAATAAGGGCTAACAAATGAGAGAATTTTTTTTACAATATTATTACAAAAGTAACCGATATCATCAATGTTATTACCAATGTCATCTTGATAAATTAAGGAAAATTGTCTCCATCCAAAATTTAATAAAATATCACTATATGCTTTTGATAGAGCTTGAAGGCTAGGATACATATTTATTGTCATTTTATGAAAACTTTTTTCCGCAAAAGTTCCATCATGATTCCAATCAAATTTAATATGTGGTATTCCAGCATAATTGCAAACGGACTCAACAATATCTAGAAACAAAAATATGTAAGAGATTATTTCAGTCTTTTTTTCACTATATTAAAATTGCACACATTCTTAATAAATTACCAGCTATTTCATTTGATTTGAACAACTCAAAATATAGGCAATGTGTTTTGAACGATGTTCTTTATATTAAACTTATTTAAAATACCAGTCAAATATTGTTTACATAATTTCCAAATAAAAAACCGTCAACCCATTGCTTAAATAGTTGCTCAATGAAAGGGCGGTCAGGAAAATACTGACGAAAATCAATTACAACTTACTATTTAGAGCATTCGAAAAACAAGCAATTTTCGACAATTAAATAAAAGCTATTACAGAATCCGGCTCAGTTTTTATAGCTTCAAGTGACTAGTTCGAAATAAATTTGACAAGATATATTTTTTATATTTTCTGCCTTAATAATCGTTTTTATTCCAAAAGAACAGAACAGATGCTTTCTTTCATTATTAAACACGTCATATTTTCTCATTAATAAATTAGAAATTTTAAACTATTCAAATGCTTAAAGAATTACCGCACTGTTTATAAATCACAAAATTTTATAAATGACACAAAAATAAAAACGTTCAAAAAAAAAAAATTAGTAAAAAAATAAAATAATTACTAATGGAAAATCCCTTACAAATAATAATAAACAATAAGAGATTCTTTAAAAAATTTCATCTGAACTATGAAAATAAATTTAAAGAAAATACACGCTTGCCAAAGCTATAGAAACAAAATGTCAAACAAAATAAATGAAAGTGGCACACTTTTTTTTACGTTTTTAAAAGCACATTTTTTTCCATGTTTACTTTGTCTTTTTTTTTTTGTACAAACATTTTAATATTTTTCCTGTCTTTTTTTTTCTACTCTCTAATAAATATTTTTTTTTTGATTATAATTTTCTTAATAGAGGAGAACTTACCACTTGACGCCTTTGAACTTGGTCCAAAAATAGCCATTGTTCCGTTTGAAAGTAAATCGCAAACTTTTCAAAATGCAAAAACCAACAACAATAAAATTGAAAAGAAAAAAAATGTTATGAATAATATTTTGAATAGTTTTTTTTTTTATTTAAATAAAACTAAATAATAATGACGTCATTTTGAAAATATTTCAGAGAAAAATTTTCTCAATACACATTTACATATGTACATAGAAGTTTTTTGAAAAACTTAGAAATTTTAATTTTTTTAATATAACAATAATTTTTTTAGCACATTTAAGATAAAAATTTAAAAAATAAAAATGTGCTTACTAATTATTTTTTATCCGGTTTTCGTGACAATTTCGGACTGGAAAACAAATCCATCTTAGGTGAATCAATTTAAACAAACACCGTAATTTTATAATGTTCGTTTAAGTTTATTTTAATTTTTAAAATTTGGAGAATGTTGTATCATACGTGAATAGGAGTTATGCAAAGATTTCCTCACAAATTATATTTGAAGAATATATTTTTGCTCTAAGAATCATTATAATTCCAATCTGATCTCAAATTTTAATAAATTTGATATTCTTAATTGCAAAAATCAACGTTTGGGAGAATATCATAAATTTTTTCATAAATTATTCAATATTATTTTAATCCTACACTTTCGTTAGAAAATGACACAAATTAATGCTGAACAATGAAAAATTTTGAAAATTACATTTTCTCATTTTTACACAAGCAATGACTCATTATTATTGTTTTTGTCACTCTTACTCTAAAATTATGATTTCATTATGATTAATACGTTCCCTGTCCGCTGAACCACATATGGTTCACGAAACGTGCGCTTGATAAGCACTGATACGTTTCTGAGCCATATGTGCGTCAGGGGGTATATGAAACTTCTAAAGCAAATTATTCGACTGGACGTAACGGAACTGTACAGTTTCTGCACTGAACGTGCTATCCTATGACTACAAAAAAACAAATTATTTAAAAAACCCTGTTGAACTTGTTGGTCAATTTTGCATTTTTGTATTGGGACAGGGAACGTGTTAACCTGTTAAACGATTAGTTTTTCAGCTAACATTACTGTTAACAGCTAACATTAACAGCTAAATTTACTGTGGTAAATTAATTTCAAGCGAAGACGCGTATTTACGAAATTTTATTAACAGAGAATTTTTCGTTTTTTGCTTAATTTTAAATTTTATAGCAAATGAAATTTTCTTTTTCGACATGACGCACATATATATGACATTAATTAAAAAATGAACTTTTAAAATTGACGCATATATACGACATAATCTCTTAACAGGTTAATAATACTTACCTAATCTTTCTAATAATATACTATCATCAGCTGGAGCATATCTTATAACCGGTACCAATCTTGTTTCATAAAATTTTCTATTACTGGCACTTATTGATAAACTGAATACTTGTTCTAAATCATCTTCACCAGGAAAAAATATTGCACCTTTTTGATTTTTTTTTTTAAATTAAATATTAAAAATTATTAAAATTATTAAAAAATGAAATTATTTCAAATTTACCAATTTTAATAACCGTATACGAATAACTACTATTTATAAATAAATTTATTAATAAAATAAATAGAGAAATTTTTTCGAAATTTGGATATTTCATTTTTAGAAATTTTTTAATATTTTTATTATTGTTCTTAATATTTTTATTTTAATTAAGTTTCGACCTAGTTAAAAACTTTCATTTTTGCTTTTTTTTTTCTATTTTTTTTTTTAAATATATTTTGAAAAAAAAAATTATTTAATAATTCCGAAAAACAAAATGTTTTCGTTTTGTTTCAGTTTGCTGCCAAATTGATCTTCACAGTAATGGAGTAATGGAACGACTGTGAGAGAATTTTTTTCGAAAAAATTTTCTTCTCACTAAAGTGAAATTGTACTTTTCGTTTCATTTGGTATGAACGACGAACGCATAGTTTAATACTAATGAGAATGTAGGAAAAGTTATTTTTGAAATTGGAAAATTCAATAAAAAAAAAAAATTTTCCTCGAATTTGTTTTTATTTTAATTTAAATTACACGAGAAAAAAATGTTTATTTTTTTTTTATTTTCATTGAGAGAAAATTTTTGTGTTTTTAAAATTAAATGTTTTCAATTTTTTATATTATGTACACAGTTGTATATAATAATAATGTGTTTGTTAAAAAAATAAAAAAGTAAATAAGGAAAATTTTCATATTTGGGAAAAACTTTGTGAAAATCTCTTATAATAAAGTTAAATTTTTTGAAATTTGGTACATTTTGTATTTAAAATATTTCATCAAGTTGTTTTTCCAAAGGATTAAAAAATAATTATGCGAACAAGTAAAGCAAATAAGTACAGTGCAGCAACCAATATAAATTGCAGCATTAAAATGAAATTTCTCGAAATTAACTGCTATACATGCTATACAAATTGCTTTTTCATGAAATTTTAATAAAAAGAGTGCACAAGAAATCGAATGAGCCCAATTAACTAAATCTAGTATTTTCCTCAAAAAATTTCCTGTTTACAGGTAGATTTCTACAAGGCGAAGAAAAATGTTTTTTCCCGTGAAAGTTGACATTTTTTGTCCTAAATCTTGATACAATATGTAAAATTAAATGATACTGTTTGAAAGATTTTATCCAAAATTTCTTGTTCTACCGTCGTTTAATGAAAACTTATTTCATAGCCTGTGGGCTGTGAACAAACTCTAAACTTGGCGAATTAACATCACACATACGCAGATACTTCGTGTGAATTCAGCAAATAAAATTAACATTATCTCGTTCTTCCGAATTTCGTGTTAATGAAATATCTATAATCCGATAAAATTTGAATACTCTACTGAAAATAAAAGAAATTAATTAATATTTTTTTTTAATTTATTTAATTTAATTCCAAGATATTTATTGTGATCGTATTTTTTTTTCATAATTCTTCAGTAATGAAATGAGCCTCTGCATCACATTGATTTGGAGCTTCTGTTATATTATTTTCATTCTCGGTAATCGTCTTCTTTTTTATCCAAATTTTTACGAAAAAACTTAATTCTTGCTTAAAAACTTCACAAAATGTAAGCTGCTTGAAAACGCATAAAAAATTGTAATATTCAGAAATTATTCTAGCCTTAACTATTACCTTTCTTTTTGAAGCACTCCGTTTGACACCATATAAAAATTCACATATACCTATAACGTATGCACAGAGCATACCAATCCAAAGTACAAAAAATGCACTACTAAGATCATTTAGTTTTAGTTCCATAAAAGATTTATGTACAGTTCTTGGACAAATGTCTTGATTACTCCACCATTTTTGTTTTAGTTTCATTAAAACTCCCTCTTCCTTTAATTTTAATATTGCTCTATTCAAGCTTGAACGATAGTAAGACCCTATTTGCAAAATAAAAATTATTTAATAAATAATATATAAATATGTATACATATATGTGTATAATATGCCAGATCAATATTATCTACCTTTCGGTATTGCAAATGCGAAATGCTTCTCGCCAAGTATTTCACCAAATTGTCTCAAATTACAATTTTTTCCCAAAGTATATTCTAAACTAGGTGTTTCCATAAGTAAGGCATACAATCCTTTACTTTTTTCAACTCTTTCTATTCCCTCTGAATAACTTTTTACAAATGAATTTGGTTCAGCTTGTATCATTTTTTGCCAAGCAAGCTGATAAATTGGATCATCTGATTTCTAAAATACGAATGTAATTTTATTTTTAAGTTTAAAAAAATGATTAAATTTATAACTTGCTTCTGTTAAAATTAAGCACTCAAATAAAAAAAAAAATTAAAATAGTTAATTGGGTTAATGAGAAATGAGCCTTAAAATTTTTATATAAATCTAAGAATTTGCAGCCTTAAACTAATTGCATTTTACAGCATTTTGTACGAATTTTGCAAGTACAATTAATATATTGTATGGTCTAACCAAATATTCGTCTGACTAAAGATTTGATAACCCAAAACTACACAATTTAATGCTAATTCTTTACTCTCAAATGCTTTATTCAAAAACCTTACCTTAAAAAATGCTGATGTAGATCCGCCACCAACTGCACCAAAAACAACTTTATTTTGTTGAAATAAATCCGCCATTGACCCCAAAGGCATCGGTTGCCTTGATATTTTCAAATAATTAAATAAATTAGCTGTATAAAAACAAAATATCATAAGGACAAAAAACCTCCATACGGTACTGACCAATCTTAAAGGCCCAGTTCTGCAAATAAAAAATGAAGAAATTCCCAACCAAAAAAATGAACAAGTCCATTTAGAAGAAACAAAATGACTGTAAGTACAAATATATTCTATTACTATTACCTTGGTAAACAATTAGTTTTTTGAATCATAAATGATTTAATTGTTACCCAAGCAACATCCCTTACTTTCCAAATAGAATTTGAATTAGACTTCAAAAAATCTTCATACCTACTAATAGCAATTCTGAAATTTTTATTAGATTTAATTAGAAATCTAGTAAAACATTATTGGAAATAAAAACTAACCTTATAAGTAATATTAAAATTGTCAAAGTTGCTAAATATGCTGCTATCATGAAATACCAAACTTCTAGATTGAATGGTTGTAAAAATGAAAATAATTTTGGAACTGGTTGTGGATCATTATAAATTAAAGCACTTATTCCCAACTGCATGTATGGTATGGTGAAATCAATAGCTTCATATCTTTTGCTTGTTACTGTTAAATCAGCCATTCCTATATCTGCTTTCTAATTTAATATTTAAATAGAGAAAAATTTAGTTCAATTATACTAAAATTGTAATTTTTTCTTTTTTATTTACGCCATCAACTATCTCTCCAATGATTCCATTCCATTCGTTCCTTTTGAAATCAAAAGATCCATAATAGTTATCACTCGCAATATAAATTGAATAATTAAATTTCATTTGTTTTGATAATACATAAATTAAATCACATAAGAAACCTTCATATCTCTCATTACCATATAAAACATCCCCACTTTCTGCAATTCTAAATTGAAGAAATTAAATTTAATAAAAAAAAATGCTGGTGCGAAAACATTAAAAGTTCTTACTTTTCAGTTAAATAAGGAGCAGTTAATCGGCTCACAATTCTAAAATGCGGTTTACCAATACTAAATTCCTTTTCATTGTTCTTATGAAAATCTACAATTCCATCAGAGTTCCAAGTAGCTACCTTAACTTGGGTTTTAAGTTCATAAATTTCAACTACAAATCCGATTCTTTCACCAGTATCATCAAATTTAATGTCTTTTGTTGAAAAGATTTGGTTTTTTTCTTTCTACAAAGATCGTAAATCAATATTTTTCAAATTGGAAATTATATTTTACTTATTTCCTAACAAATATAGAAAATAATTTTTATTATTATAGAAAAAAATTAATTACCACAGGAATATTTTTCATTGTCTCTAGTAATTTCTCACCGAAATTCCATGGAATGGCCTCTGAATTATCTTCGTCCATATTACAAAATGATCTTGGCTCCGTTGAATTAAACTCATTTGATTTCTCTAAATGTAACAATGCACTACCAAGTAGCCAAACTGCGTCGAACAATATTTTAGATTTAAGTGTTTGCTGAAAACAATATTACCAAAATTTTTAAAATATTCTTTTAAAATGTTAAAGAAAGCGTTTTTCAAAAATTTAGATCTGAAAATTAAAAGCACTACATTTCACATATACATGAAATTTTGCAAAGCTTTTCAGTTCGAATTTCTAGAATAAATTTTCAAAAAAACGCCTATATTTTCATAGAAGTTACATGTTTCTGTAATTGGACTAAATTTTCATTAACTCCAAATTTAAAAGCATTGATATTTACTTCAGTTGGCAAAATAAATTGTTTTGGAATATCTTCTTTACGTATATTAAAATTGGTTAATAATATTTCCTTTAAAAAATTATAATTAATCAATTTTTAATGAAGCATATTTTTGTGATTCCAATAAATTATCTTACTGTTCCTTTGATGACACCATAATCTTTAGCTCTGTTCAATATTTCTAATGTCATATTTAAATTAGAATCTAAAATTATTCTTTTTATACTATTATACTTTATATCCTTCCAAATATTTTCCATATTTGCTGGATCAGCTTTGTACAATTTTATACCAGTGTTAGAAACTGGAAACATTTCCAGAACATATTGAAATCTGTCAAGATCTGAATAAATAGTTTTTAGTTTTCAGCTTTTAAACTTAACTTTTCTTAAATAACATTACCAACATCATTTTGATAAATCAAAGCAAATTTCTTCCATTTCATATGACCTAAGATGTCAGTGTAAACTTTTGAAATAGTTTTTATACTGGGATAAATATTTATTATCATATCATTGGTATTTTTCTTCGGCGAATCATCAATATTGTACGAATCGAATTTAATATAAGGTACCCCAGATAAGTTACACAATGATTCAATTACCATTGCTGAAAAATAATAATAATATTTTTATCAATTTTTTATATGTAAATAAAATAACTGTATTACAATAACACTTTAGTAAGATCAACAAGAAAAAGATAAGAGTAGTTCTAAAAGTCAAAAGATCAAAAAATTTTGAATGAAACAAAACCTGAACTACTAAAATTAAAGTTTATCAAACAAATATTTCTATAATACACAAATAAATCTTACCATTGGGATTATTAGAATTAGATCCAAAAACAGCCACGGTTCCATTTGAAAATAATTCACAAGCTGTTCGTAGTATTCGAGAAAAATATTTTTTCAACAATAATTTTAAGTTCAAAATCAATTCTTTTATATAATTATGGCTATTATTTACCTAAAGAATCATTATAATTGCTTGATTCATCAATACGAATTGTTGGAACTAGTTGAATCTCGTTAGATTTTTCATTAAAATCTTCAATTATTATTTTAAACTCATTAAGTAGATCCAATTCATTAGTATCAAATATTGCACCTTTAATATTATACCCAGAAAATTATTTTAATGGCTTCGATTCAATTAGGAAATTTACATACCAATTTTTATTATTTTTTTAGAAACACCATTGTTAATTACAAAAAAAATTATTAATAAATTTAATATAAAAAAATTCATTTTTGATTTTTAATTTTAATTGCTACTAGATTTATTTTTAAAATTTCTGCTCATATCATTTTATGTTTGTGGATTAAGAGCAAAATACCGACTGAAAACTGCAAAATTAATCTTATTATTATAATTAATTTCCTTATCTGTAAAATATTTGTATGTAAAATAAGTTCACATTTTTCGCAATAGAGGCATTATAATCGGTAGAATATTCAATTGTAGAATAGAATTTTTGATTGTGTTTTGAAACAACCGAAAAACTAGTTTCTTGTTTATTTGCTCCAAATAAGCTTTCCAAAAATTTAATATACTTGTTTCAAATAAAAGTTAACTGAGGCGTGGAGATCTACCAGGCTTCTTATAGACATTTAATTAATTCCTTAATTAATTAGTATAAAAGATATTGGTAGTAAAACAGTTTTAATTATAATAAATAAAAATTAAAAGATTTAATATTTGAAAGCAACATAACATACAATTTAAATATTAATTTAATTTTGGACACAATAATGTTATGCAAACTTAGTTACATTAACTGCTATAATAAATAATGTATTATATAATATTTTCCTTCAAATAATAGATTAGAGAAATTTTGTACTGAAATCAGCTAGCAGTTGATTTACTAAGACTCTTCTTAGATTTTGATGTTTCAGCTAATGCTTTAGATGTGGCAGTAGTTTCATCAGACTCAACTGAACTATTTGAACCTGATAAACTTTCTGAATTCATTACTGGTTTTCGTTGTACCCAGAATTTAATAGCAAATGAAAATTCTTGTTTAAAAGCATCAACGGGTGTCATCTAAAATAAAAATTTTAATCAGAATTTCAATGTGTCCTCTAAAAATATTAAATGAAATATATTTTTTACCTTATTCTCAACAGCAACTTTATGAACGTGCATTAAAAACTCAAAAATACCAATTATATAAGATGTAAATAGACCACCACTTAATACAAGGAAAACACCACCAACATTTGCAAGTGTTAATTCATTATTCCCACCAGCATCAAATTTTTCACATGTTACATTATGTCCTTTCCACCATTTCTTTTTCAATGCAAACATTTCACCTTTTTCACTTAATTTTAAAATAGCTACACTTAAATTTGATCGATATTCTGCACCTGTAAGAGTTAATTAATAAAAAATCTCTATAATTTTTAGAAAAGAGTCTTTGTCTTACCAAGAGGAACAGCTATTCCATAGTGTTTTTCACCAATCTGTTCACCAATCTGCGTAACATCACAATTTCTTTCTGTTATAAACTCTAAGCTGGTTGTCTCCATTAAAAATGCATAAAGTCCTTTACTTTTTTTTATACGATCCAAACCTTCCACATTACTTTTTGTAAATACTGTAGGTTTTGCTTGAATCATTTTAGACCAAGCCAAACGATATATTGAATCATTTGATTCCTTTAAAGAAACAGATTCAGTATTTTTATCATTTAAAAACGCCATACAAATGAAATATTTACTTTGAAAAAATTAGAAGTACTACCGCCTTCTACAGTTCCAAAATGAATTTTATTCTGTTGTGCCAGGTCGTTTATTGATCCGATTGAGCTCTGTTGTCTTGAAGAAGTTAAAAAAGCAGCCAAGTTAGCTGTATAGGAATTGAGCATCATCAATGCGAAGAAATACCACAAACCATTCATAATTCTCATAGGTCCAGTTCTAATAAAAAATTGAAGCACAAATAAAACATGCTGAAAAATAATTTTTTCTATTTTTCTTTACTTTGGCAAAATATCACAACCTTGACCCATAATTGATCCCATAGTCAACCAGGTTGTATTTGTAAGACTCCATTTATTTTCTAATTCTTCTGGATTTGGATTGCATGGATGTGGATTTTCGTATTCATCTGCGGCAATTCTTTAAAGAAGATAAAATCATATGAAAAAATTACAATAACATAAAGAAAATGAGTTTTTTCTTATTTAAAAACTCAAATTAAAATACAACAATACCTCGCTAGTAAGAAAAGTAAAATCGATATTATCAAATAAGCTGTTGCCATATATACCCAAACTTCTAACGCAAAAGGTTTCAAAAATGAAAACAAATCTGGATCAGGTGGAGGTTCTTTATAATATAGAATACTAATACCCAACTGCATAAATGGTACTGTAAAATCTACAGCTTGTCGTCTTTCATGTGTTATGGTTAAATCACATATCCCGATATCTGCTTTCTAAAAGAAGAAAAATTTAAATTTTCTGGATTGAATTTTTACTTGAACACCATTAACGAAAACATTAATACCCTATCAATTAAGGCTCTTATTATACCATTCCATTCTTTAGTATTTGGATCTAAATTACCATATTTATTGTCGGGAACAACTTCGATAGTAAAATCGAAATCAAGTTGTTGAGATAATTTATAAATTAAATCAAGAGCATACCCTTCATATCTGGCATTCCCTTGCAAAATTTCACCTTCGATTAAAGATCTAGAAAAAATAAAGTAGTGTTTCTCATAGTAGCGTATTTAATATATACGGAAAAATAAATGAAAATTAGGCTTACTTTCTCTCCATTAAATATGGTTCTCCAATACGTGAAGCAACTCTGTAATGTGGTTTTGTTTCTGACGCGTCTTGAACATCTTCTGCAAATGCTTTTTTTGATTTTAGCGCTTCTAATTTACCGATTTTGCCTTCGCTAGGTTCCCACACCGCTAAGGTAATATGCCTCATTGGACGATAAATGTCAATAAAGAAATTATTTCGTTCACCAAATTCATCAAACTCCATTCCTTTACTAATAAAAGTCAATTCATCATCTTCAACCTGCACAATTAAACAAGATGTTATAGTATGACTTTTTATACAAATTTTATAATTTAAAACAAACATTTTCAGCTCTTTTCATTATGCTAACAATTTGGGGTCCCATATCCCATGGTGTTACTCTTGTCATATCACATCTAAAACGGGGCTCATAAAATTGAAGATTCTGATATCGTACAATATATTGCAAAGCATTAGCAAACAATTGCACCGCATCGTATATAATCACTGTTTTTAATCGACCCTCCTAAAAAGTAATTGAAACATTTGCAATTAACAATTGATTATTTAATTCATCATATTACCGGCACTGAATCAATATTTTCATTCATACTTAATTGAAGCGCTGTAATGTTGCCACGAATTTTAGTTACAAATTCTCTTAGGTCAACCGTAAATGTATCTAAATCTGTCAGTAAAAAACTCTAAGATGTGATGATTAATGTTAATACACATTAAATAAATAAAAAAAATTACTTTAAACTGTTCAGTCATGTTAAATTCGATTGCGCTTTCTAAAACTTTTTTAATTATATCAGGGGAGCAATCCAAAACTATTTTAGTATCTTGATCATAAAATGATTTTTTCCAAATTGTTCCAAATGGTTCACTTCGGTCAAATTTATAGGTTCTAATGCCACCTCTGTGAATTGCGTTCAGTTGGAGGACATCTTGTAGTTTTAGTAAAGCTAAAAATATAAAATTTATTAAATTTGATGTTTGGTTTAAGAAATACAACGTTGACCAACGAAAATACCATATCAAGTTTTCGTATTATCGCGATTTCATTGGAGACATTATCTCTCAAATTTTCGAGGGTAGTAAATATTTTTAATGTTACATATGAATAAAAAAAAATTAAAAATGGAAGGGAAGGGAAAGCTATAAGTCAAATTTATTTTTACATCTATTCCAAACCTACTTATATCATCCTCATAAACTATTGTAAATTGTTTCCATCCATAATTGGTCATAATATCAGCATAGGCTTTAGATATAGTTTGCATACTTGGAAAAACATTAACAGTCATTTTATGGAAACTTTTCTCTGCTAATGATGTCTCGTGACCCCAATCATATTTTAAATGAGGAATACCAGCCATATTACATATTGCCTCCACAATATCTAAAATAAAAAAATTCAAAATAAAAATAAAATACAAATAGATTAGTAAGGTTCATTGCCATTGAGAGAGAGGAAAAATATAAAGAGAGCAAAATATTTTCATTTCTCTCAAAGAGATTTTAAAGAAAAAATGTCAAGAATCTTAATTTTTTCTCAAAATATACTAAAATTATTTAAAAACAAAAAACACTTAAACATGCATCCATTAATCTTTTCAACACCTTGCTGCACTTACCACTGGACGCTTCTGAACTCGGTCCAAAAATAGCCATAGTACCACTAGATATTAGGTCGCATGCTATTTTAAACAAAAATAAACATACATTATTATACCATAAAATTTAGTTTTATGTAAATATAATAAATATAAAAATTAAAATTAGAATAATATAAAAATATAACGGCGTCAAAATAAAGGAAAAAAGTAAATATAATGAATAATGGTGCCTTCACGTAGAGCCATACGAATTATTTTAAAATTACTATAATACAATTGAAAAATTTTGAGTATTGTTAGAACAGTATTGAAAAACATAATAATGATATTATTATTATTATCGTATTTTTAAATTAAGTACGATCGAGCCTAAATGTCGCAAACTTTCCGAAATGACTCAATTCATAAAACTAAAATAATTTGAAGTTAATCTTCATTTAATTTAAAAAATTTGTAATTTCACACTTTGGCTATAACAAATCCGCCTTTTAAGGTACAAAAATTCACAATTCTATAATAAAGATGTTAACAAATGATTGAATCAAGAAACACTCAAACCGCAATTAATATTAAGTTATACATATTCTCAAGCATAATAAGTAATTTTTTTTTATATTTATAATTAATATGGCTATTTTTCCTAGCACGTATGTCGTATAATGCGTATTAAATTCACTATATAATATTATATAGAAATATGCGTAATACACACTCACGCATACGCGTGTTTTCAAATTTGTTGATATACAATGTTCATATGTGTATAAGTTACTGTTTCTATATATTTTCATTTAATACTTACTTAATTTTTCTAATATTATACTGTCATCTGCTGGTATATAACGTATAATTGGTACTATTTTCATATTATAAAATTTTCTATTACTATTACTAACTGATGTATTAAATGCTAATTCCAAATCATCTTCTCCAGGAAAAAATATTACTCCTAAAATAGACAAAAAAAAAATTAAATGTCTCTTACATTAATCAAATCAAAACAGAAAGTAAATTTTAATAAATTTATTAAAAATATAAAATATATGTACCAATTTTGATAATTTTAGGAGATGTTGAACATATTTGAATTAATAATAAAATCGGTATTAATACAACCAACCAAAATTTCGACATTTTCTTTTGAAAATCATAAAAAAAAAATAGAAAAAAAAAATTATTTTAAATGTCACATAAAGTTTATACGAAAAGAAAAAATAACAAGAAGAAAATAAATTATTCCTAAGCAGCGCAAGTCGTATAACGTTCAAATTTCGAATTCAAATGATCTTTTCTAATAAAAGGTATATGTAACACTGACGAAGAGAAATTTTCCAAATCAAACAAAAATTATTTTTTATATTTTATAGAGTAATATTGAAGCAGTACTGCCAAACTGAGCACTATTAAACAAATATTATGCCGCCATAAGTTGAATGAATGTTTTCGCCATTCTCATTGAAGAATGTTTTCTGTAACAATTACCTAAGCTTATTCTGAATAAACAAAACAATTTTCCTTGTCAAATTCAGCAAACAGCTGCGGAGCCAAATCTTTTCAATACATTTTGTACCCATTTATAAATTGAATATTTAATTTGTATTATAACAGTAAATTTAACAACACCTTTTCGAATTTTCGGTCACACATTTTCCATTGTATCCAGTTTCCTAAAAATTTAGGAAAAAAAATAGGTTTATTGTTCTTTCACCTTAACGTCGTATTCAGAAGAACTTAATTACAATTTAGACCAAATATTGTAATTTTAGAAAGCAAAAAAAAATTTTTAATTTTTTATCAACCGTAAGCCTAAATTTGGCATGATGCACTATTTTAAAAATTCCAACTTACTGGCAGCACTGCTAAGCAATAGAAAAACTCCTGTCCTTAAGGTAACCGTAAAAATAAATAAAAATATATGGGAGAATGATTATAAAATATAAAAAGTAATATGGAGATCAAAGAGATCTTGCAGAAAACTGAGAGAAAATCTTTTTTAAATCAAGAAAATGAGATAAATTTTCTGAATGAAAATTTTGTTTTTGTTTTTATTTGCGTATGATAATAATTTTCGTAAACATACAATAAAAGATTTTGCGGTAAATATTTATTGTTATGTCTGACCTATGAACTGATAGTCTGCGTTTACGTCTGGCATTTTATACTTTTCGCAATATTTTATATACATATATATCAAATAATATATAAAATATATATTTTTTTTTTTGGCAAATAAAATGTAAATGCACAAGTATAATATTTGCGGGTAAATTTAGATTTCAATACTATTTATTATTTTAATAAAAAAAGATTCAAAAAAAAAAACTCATGTATTTTTAAATTATAAAACGAAACAAAACAAAAATGTAAACAAAATAAAAATGGCGGGAAAATATTAATTAAAGTTATTAAGTAAATATAATATTAAAACAAAAAAAAATAAATTTTAAAATGAAAAAAAATTTTCCTGACTAACTATAAACAAAAATTTATTAATTTTCAAAAGTTCATTAGCAGTGTATTTGTTTTTTTCTTTTTGAAATAAAATTTATTTAGTTTAATGAGGGCTTATTGCATGATTTATTGCCAAAATAAAGAAAATAAGCAATATTATTTCAAACACCATATTCTAGAAATTTTTATATACTCGCTAATAAAATGGAAAAATTTTTAGGAATTTAATTTGAAATTGAATATTTTCTTAACAATTAAGAATGAGAACTAGTATTTTTCTTAAAGGCATTTGGAATTTTAAATTTTAAAAGACATCTTTTTTTAATGTTGAATAATATTAAAAAATACTACTTACTTTGTCCAAATTTCCTTTCCTGCCTAAAAAGATATTTAGGTTATAAGATGATTACAATCAATATATTCACTAGAGCCAGTTTCAGCTTGCATATTCATCCACATTATTAATAGTGATCGAATAACTTCCTTTAGCATCAATTACTTGGATTGTTTTCAATTTCTCGGATTCGGATGTGGTTTGGCACTATAGAACAAAATCGAAAAAAATTAACCAGACAGCATTTTCTAAATTTTTTTTTGTTGTTAGCATTTCTGGTAGTTTTTCCAAAGCAAACATTTATGCTATTTTGAAATATTATTGTTATTAAAATAATTGTAACGCTCACGTTATTTACTTTTATTTTTTCGAAAACTGAATATTTCGCAATAAGATTTGTAAACAAAATGGGCAAGTGAATAATAAACAAAATGGCAAGCGAAAGTAGCATTCGATTATACCACTTCTGCTGATGATGCAAATTTGCGATATTCAGTTTACATAATGTTAAAAGATTTAGATACGAAAATCGCTTACAGAAAGTAACACTACATGATAGGCTACCAGAATATTCTTATGGCCTTAGACATTTCAACTTCCTACAAACTTTATCAATCATATTTCAAAGGTTTAGACATAATCTTCCTCAATTCTTGTTATGCTACGTCTTGAAAAATAATAAATTTTAAATTCTACTTTAAAAGGTCACTCTAAAAAATCTATGTAAATTTTAATTTGGTAGGTATCTATAATAACTAAATTCATTAATTATGTAGTTATAGCTGCACAGTATATTATTGTATTAAATTTCATTTTTAAAATTTAAAATTTTAAAATAGAAATATAAGTTTCCTAATAAAAAAAAACATTGAACCGAAATAATTGATTAAATTTTAATTACTCTTACCACAATATTAGTATTAAAATTTTAACAAAAATATCAAATGACTAACTGGAATTTTAGTATTTTTATTAAAACGCCATTATGTTTAATTTAGAAACAATTACTCACCCATTTAACATATTAATAATGACACAAAATTTTCGATATCGTACATAGTAGCTTTGCAATAAAAGTAAATTCGTAAAACGTGCTTAAATATAATGTTACATTTAATTCTACATTTTATTCTTAACTCTTCATAAATTCTTAAAAATAGAAATTCTAACTATAACTATATGTATATATATATGTATATCGTCATATTCGATTTCCCTTATTTCAACCATTTTTACAATTTATCGATCTCATAATATTGTCATGTACCTATGTTTATATCTAGTTATAAATCGTTAAATTTCAATGTTATCCTTAAATCTTATAGTATAAACTTAAATTTACCACAAATTCACAATACAATCAAAGTTAACCCAAACCGAGAACACAATAAAATTAATATGAAAAACCATTAAAAGAAAACTAGAAATCTAGAATCCGTAAACACAATCAATATAATTCTCAATTTATTTAAAGAGACCAAATGGAATGTAATGATATCAATGGTGTGTGATCTCGATATTACGCAAGTTATAAAATATACAGGAAAAATACGAGTATATGGAATAAAATAAAATCGGTTTTAAAATTGCCATAATTATACCAAATTTCTTTAGTATTAATTTTCAAAATTAAATAATTTTTTTAATCATGCTATATGATTCAGATTCTAAATTACCGATAATCTTAAGTTGAATAAGAAATGAAAAATAGGTCTTTTATGAGAAGAATGTAAAAAAATCGAAAGTTTGTATAATTGCTCGAGATTTATCAGTTTAGTTTACAAAATTCTTAGTACACAAAAATTAATCAGAATATTAAACAGTGCACATTGTTTAATTGCAATAAAAGGAAATTAATATTATTTATTATAGAAAATACTACAAAAGCAGCAAAACCTTTAAGACCTACTTTGCTTGAAAATTAACACTTAAATTTCATTATATACTTACTTAAAATCGGATGCAGTCACTTACAAATTATAAGCTCACTACATATTTTAAGTAATTTAAATTATTTAAAGAACAGTCAGTTTTTCATACAAAATATTAGAGAATTTAGAAAGTTTCTGCGAAAAGCACAAAACACTTAATAAATCCTCTGCTGTAGTCGGTGTTCTGACGATATCATATCGAAATCTTTACAAAAAATTCCTAATAGAATTAAGAATTTTATTAAGCAAATTTTTAGAAATTTTTTTATAATTTTTTTTTTTAAATTTTCTCGTCAAATTCCAATTTGATATTACGTATGAGGCGCTCAGTCCTTTAGTGGTCTATCATAATGAGTTATTATTAGACTCATTATGATATAGTAGAGTTGTAATAGCCTAAAGAATTGTTTTATATTTTCAAAATACTTAGTTTACTCATCTTTTTACTCTATTTTGGCATAAGTTCGTTTTTGCCTTTTAAAAATGTCTTACAAATTCTTAAATATTTCAATCGTAATTTACTCGAAATATCATTTTTGCAAGTAGGCCACTAATGTACTGATCAACTCATATATATGAAATGCTAAATGTACTGAAAGAAAATAAATCATTTTATTAAAGAACATTAATTACAGACGGTGAGTTTGAAATAATTTTATATGTATGAATGTATATGTATGTAAAATAAGTGTATAATAAGTATATAAGACATAAGCATAAAATATTATGTACAACATCTATGCATAATATATGTATATATACTATTTTGCATGACATATATTTATAGGTTCTGCACATAATTAACAGCATTTTCTGTGTATGATTCGGAATTAACTCAAAATATACTTAAATTAATTAATATTATAAACTTGAATAATTGATGAACATTAATTTTTTTTTGTTCAAAGTCATGTTTTCAAAGTCATAATCACGTGTAGTTGAAGAAATACAAAGAATAATTTATGGAATGGACAAGTTTGATTTGTAAACTTGTATGAAACAGAAGACGGCAGAAGAGAGCCAACGAGGAACTTTGTTTTAGCAGCAGAAATTTCGCGAAAAACCGATTTTCACAAGATAACTGAATTTATTGTCAAACTTGAATCTTGTGAATGTAATATAGACCAATTGTTCGGACTTCGTCAACGGTCATAACAGATTCGACATTCAGTAAGAATGGGTCGAATTAAAATGTCACAAATGTATACAATCTACTCTTTACCCGGTTTGCCTCCTCCTTAAATAGAATCCGCTGCATGGACTACTTTTATTGATTTGAAGAAAATATTTTACAAATCAAAAAAGAAGCGGGTTATTAAACTTCAAAATATAAGACAAAATATTTTCTTACTTTAAACAAAATCTTCTTTTTAGTTTTTTTTCGCAATTTTATTTCATACTATTATATAAAATGCCATTTAAGGGTATCCGTATTACATTAAACACGTACGCACAAACTATATATACATACACCAGTTGTACTTGTACTTATGCAGCTGTACTTATCTTGTTTTACCGTAAGAACTACATGATATACTAA